TACCTGCTAAAATATGTTCCTGCTGTGAAGGTAATTTGGTTTGGATGCCACAATGCCTCTGTTGCTAGAAAGGTTCAGGCATATTAAGACTTCTAGTAAAGGTTCAGCTGGTGAGGAAGGGTCCAGGCTTTCCTTGGTGGTGTGTCTGCTGATGTCACGGGGCAGTAGTTTCTGCATCTGACAGCAGCAGTGTAAGTTGTGGTAAGAGCTGACAAGACTAATATGATGCTGAAAGGTAACTATGAGGGTGCATAGTTGGGCTCTGCTCATAGTTGGAGAAGTTTGCTGAGATCCAGGAGCACAGCCCTCATGGAAAGGGGGTGTAAAGCATTGTAGGGTGCTGTTCCTTTTCTGCTTTATCTCAGCCAGCACATGTTTTGTCTTAGATTGTTGGAAAGGATGAACCATGGCTTACTTATGAGTGCTTGCTTTCCATATAATCCTTAATGTGGGGAAATCTAAATCTACAAGGATTGATTTTAATTTCCTCCAAGAAGTTGCTCCTGGCAGAATCTGATAAAGGCATTTTTAGTCTTAATTCTTCCCAGCCCCCAGACCTGCTGTTGGTGAGCTATCGGAGCATACCTATCTTTGGGAATTCATTTGGTGATCACCACAGCTTGCATTCATTATCTCAAATACCTCCCAAATCGTCGGCTGATGCAAGGTGGGCCTGAAAAGTGGTCTGACGGCATTTTCTGAAACTTTTTACTTCTGGGGGAGAGTGTTCCCAGGTTCTTGCTGGGGATATGCCTTTCTGCCCTCTGTTGAGCTGTCCCTTCAGTGCACAGCTTACAAGGAGCAGAGTCATTCCATTTCTTCTTGATTGCTCTGTGCTGCCTCTTTCTTCTCGCCCAGGTTTTCTCATCTGTGCACAGAGCTGTGGAGTCCTTTCAGTGCTGGACTGACCTCATTCCCAGCCCTCAGCCTGGCAGTAGCACGGCCACAGCATGAGCTCCCAGTGCAGAAGAGCAGGTCATGGTCTCCTACAAGAGGCTCAGAAAGTGGCCTCAACCAACCTGAAATTTTGTACAAATTTTTAAGAGCTTTTGGGCTACATACTCTGTCTTTTTCCTGCTACCAGCCCGGTGAATCAAACAGCAGCTTTTCTATCTTAGAGAGGTCTTAATGAACAAGATGTACCCTCATCTTCCAAACGATCAGAGAAGGAAATGCAGCAAGGGTTGTTTTAAGGCAATTTGCACGTACTTGGTAAAACAGAGTAAGCGTTGTCATTCCTGAACTCTGAAACAGAAAACAAATTTTTTGTGGAAACAAAAACACAAGCTTTTCGGTGTGCTGGAGCAGAGCAAGGCATTGCAGGAGACATTTAGCATCGTGTTCTGACCTTTATGGAAACAGTTGATAGGGAAATATTTTTGTCGTATTTATTTAAACTATTTTCTTTCATTTATTTAAACTAGGCAGTATACTTATTTGAAAAAATCAGCAGCATGCCAATCTCTAGTTCTTGGCATGTTAACAACAGTAATCATGCAATAAATATAAACCCCTCAAATCTGTGCTGAATGCTTTGATCCTAATGCTCTTAGAAAAGTCCTTTTGTTTTTGTTCTCCGCGGAAAGTACCAGGTGTGACTGTGGTGGGTTTAGGAGATAATAAAGATAATAACAGGAGGAAGGTTTGGTAGAGTTTTAGTGTGATGGCTATAGTTGATTTTTTGAAATAGTATTTTCCTGTTATTTTATGTGCCACAAACATTTTGGTGGATTTTTTTATAGAAACACCACAATGTGTTGTTTTCACACCCTCCTCCACGCCTGGCTGCCCTCCCAGGTTCACCCAGGGGTGCTGTTTGCTGTTGTGCCTCAATCACAGGCTGCAAACAGCCTTTCAGAGAAACGTTTTCCCACAGGGGTGGAGGAAGAGGTGGGTGACCCATGAGTATGCCCAAGTGCACGTGATCCTTGACTCTGGGAAGCTGCTTAGTGAAAAAAATCGATACAGTACCTGACTACACCTTCAGTGCTGCATCAGAGGTGCTTCAAACCAGTAGAAGTTTTCCTGTTGACTGCAGAGAGCCTTGGATGAGGCTGGTATTCCACCTGTCTGTCCCCCGCACGTGGAAGCATTTTACATAGGGGGTGAGCGCCAGGAATCAAGAAAAAGAAAGAGAAATATGAAGGGAGTGATTTTGTCTGTTCTAGTCAAACATTTTAGGGAAATTAATGGTCCAAGCTTACCTTGCTATGGCACTGCTAATGATGGATACCTTAAGCAGCAGCAGCATCTGCAGTGATGAAGAGTCCTGATAATGAAACGAAAAGCTCCTCCAGGGTCCCAAATAGATGAGGTTGATGGTGGTATTTAGGTGTAGCACTTCTCAGACTCACATGGCACTGAGATGAAGCCCCCTATTAAATTATTCTTTGCATTTGGCTCACATATGCTTAAAATTTGCGTGCCAGATAAAGGTTGAAAATACCTGAGACGAATTAGATGGCAGTTATGAGGTAGACTCTTTGCAAAGGAATTTTCTGTCTCTGATACTTGTTACATTAGATTATCCAACCTTTCTTTTCTGTCAGTGCAAATGAGATCATAACTCAAATGTGCATGAAAGCAAACGGGGGGTTTAGATCTGAAAATGCACAGCTGCCTAACTTTGATTTATATTAAAGGCAGACATAGAAATGATTAATTCCAGCATCTTGGGAATTACATTTAAGTATTAACAAAATTAGGTAAATTATGCCTCAGCCTCTGAGTGCACCAAGGTGTTCATGCAGACTTGTTTGATCATGGGATCACAAGATAAATGTCAGAATCAGGCTCCATGCCACAGCTGAGCATTTTATAGATGGGGAATAATGATTTTGGAAATGACTAGCACCATACTATTTGTGATATCAAATATTTATCAGCCAGCTTCAGGTCCCCAGAGATGTGCTTGGATTGTTGCACAGTGTGGTTAGTCTTCCTTTAGGATAAGTAGTGGATCCAATGTATTCTTTAAATTAAGGAATGCTCTGGACTGTACCAGGTCGGGATGTGGGGCAAGACAGAGTCCTGATCAAGGCTGTAAATTTAGTCTTTAGCATTGGCTGTCATAGCAGAGTGGCACCAACCTGCAAGAAGAGCACTTACAGAGTAGCACTTGAATTTTTGCATAAGTATCAGTATTGGTGTTTAGACCAAGGACGGTAAATGCATGAAAGTATTAGAAGTTTACAACTGGGTTTGGTAAGATTTGACATTTCCTTCTTACTGACATTGACTGCCTGGGAAGAGAATAAAAAATGAACTTCAGATGAAATTTGAAGACTTATAAAAATAAGTTAACATCAGCTCGATCTTTTTTTTCTGTTGACACTAAAGGAAAAAAAAGGAAACTTATGGGTATGGGTAACTCGTGGAAGTTTTATTTTAATACAAGGGACAGCATTTCCTCTGTTTCTCAGTGCAAGATTGAATGTTCCTCGTTGGGTTTTTTGGCCTATCTTGAAATTGGATCTGGGCTCAGGAGAACTCAGTCAGCGATCCCTGCCTCTCAGAGGAGCACCATTCATGGCTCTTAACCCCTACTGATCACAAGGGAACTCAGTGATCTTTCCTTAATCTGTAACACTCTTGCAGCAGGAAAACAACCTTTTTCAGGGCATTGTTTGTACAAGCTTTTAAGCAGCAATGTCTGATTTTAGGAGTTATATCCATTTCTCTCCATGCTGGTCTGACCTTTTCCATTTAGGAGCAAGTTACTGCTCTCGCTGGTTTTTTGTGGGCTGAATGAATGGTAAGTAGGGCTGTAATATAAAATATTTACAGGTGTCAATGTATGTGCTAATTTCTATTCTAGTGGATCTTCCAGAGCTGCTACATGTATAAATTTTTTAGGTTTCAAATGTATTCATAGGCTGGGAAGAGCTTGAGCTGTAATATGTTTCTTGGGAAATATGCTGATGGAGTGGCTCTGTGTGTTTCCTCCATTTTGAAAAGAAAACAGAACATTTTATGTGGAGAGATGGTTAAAACAGTGTGTCTGCACTCGAGGACTTAACCAGTATGCTTATGACATAGCATGTAATGAAGAAATTGAAGCTGAGTCTCTGGGTGCATCATGCTGAGTAAGAGGCTTGTTCTACACGAAACTGTCATATTAAATTCTTGTCGTGATTCCAGACCCCTTTGATTCCTAAATCTTTTGGAGGAGACTAATCTGAAATCAAAGTGAAGTTGCTTGGGGTTTGCATGCCAGAAGTGGTCACATTTGAAAAAGTTCAGTGAACCTGCAGAGGGAGGTTGAAATTAGTTGCTTCACTACAAAGCTTACAGCTAACATACCTGCTGGTTTGCTTTTTGCTTTGATTCTGCAGGCTCTGCCTTCTTGCCACTTTCTGAATTGTTTTCAAAATGCATAAATCTTAAGGATGAGCATGTCCTGGTTTCGGTCTGTTTAGTTAAAAAAAAAAAATCAGTCTACAATGGTAAAACAAACACAAGCTTTAGTACCAAGGACATGGAAAGGCTGCACTTTTCTCTTCTGCCTTGTCTTTTGTGCAGCTATTTCCCTCTATGAAGGTGCAGTATCACACTTTAGCCTCCTGATTTACCAACATTTGACATCCCTTTGTACCAAGGTAAATGGAAATGGTTCCTTTTAAGTTCTTCTAAGTAGATACTGAGAGCTCCTGCCTTGATCCCTGTAAGATGACTCTGCTCCTTTGAAACCACTGGAGCAATGCCAGGAATCCAGCCTGTTAGCCCTGCTGAAATGTCAGCTGCTTTCTCTTGTTTTGATATTGGCATTTTTGGGGGCTCTGACCAAGAATACCGTGGAATATTAAGTGTAATTGGTAGCATTTCCAGTGGATAAATGCTGCCCTTCTGTCCCCACCTCAAGCTTTGTGTAGGCTGCCTGGGACCTGGGAAAGTGCTTTTTGGTCCAGTTGAAAGAAAGTGCCCTGGGTAACCATGGCCCCTGCATGACTGTGTAGACAGCCCTGTGAGAAAGCTGATGTGTTGTTACTTTATATTTACAGTGTTCTGTCTCCTGTGGAAGGGGCCAAAAGCACCGCAGTGTGTACTGTTTGTCAAAGGAAGGGAGACATGTAGAAGAAGAGTATTGCAAACACCTTGCTAAGCCCAACGTGCAAAAGAAATGCAGAGGGGGCAGATGTCCGAAGTGGAAAGCAGGAGACTGGGGACAGGTGAGACACATTGTGTACCCTTTTGCACCCTTTGATATTCTTCCTCCCTCAAATTGGTTAGAATTTGGTCTTCTGATCACTTCTATCCTCTTGAATTATTAAAGGATAAAAGTTTTGGCCTGGATCCTGGTGTAAAATAGTGTAGCTTCATGGACAGCAGTGGAGTAGCTCTGATTTGTACCAGCTGAAAACATGGAAACTTGCTTTTGGTGTCTACCTGAAAGTAAATTCCTTATTGTATATTTTAAGTTTCTGCTAGAAACATCATTAGTATATAATATGAAAGAGAACCTACTATTTATTCATGGTTTTAATATCATTATGCAAATATCACATCTCGAGCAAAATCTTCCTTAGTTTTGAGAAATCTGAAACTAGTTTATTGTCAGCTTCCTGAGAAAGCTTAAAGAATAATCAGAGCTGTTCATTAAAACTGCTTTTCACTCCCTTTGTTTCTTAACAAACTCATCACTTGATTTTCCTCATTAAAAAGTCAGACAGTGATGTATAGAGCAGAGTCTGCTGGAAATGAGTAAGTGCTTGGAGTTATTAAGCATCTTGCTTGCTGAAAGCACACCTTGAGTCCTTGTTTTCGTGAAAATAATGTCTTTGTCATCACCTTGAATCTGCTGCATCACATTTTTATCTCTGAACCTTGCTTTTCCCTCTACCTCATTAGTGTGCTAATCAGCGGAATTATTGAAAATCCCAGACTAAATGAACTGTTAACTTGTAAAACATCGTGTTCCCTTGCACTCTGTCTTCCAAATTAAGGTAGAAAACACCAGTTCTTGCTATATGCAAGTTCCCTCAAAGACAAACCATTAACATTGCTGCAGACACACATGCAAATGTTAGGACTGGGACAGCGTGCTGTTATTTAATGTACACTATTAAAAAAGACAATAAACACATTGAAGTTTTCAGACTCCTATATTTTTTCTCATGCTTACCTTTGAATTCGTAGGATAAGAGTTATTTGCTGTTAAGTGGATAAAGTCCTAAGTAAGCGTTCATTCAGAATGGAGGTTTAGTTACTGAGGTCTGGGTTCTTTACCTGAGGAATGGCTGGGAGCATCCAGCCTGTGAAATCCACAGTGCTGCTCCCATATTGGAAATTAAGTCAATATTATTGCTGTTATTACCTGCAGGACTGAAACCTTAATTTTATACAGGAGCTGGACTGAAATGAAAGGACATTAGATAGTCTTGTCATATCTGATTTGCACCTTATTTAAAGTGACTGCTCCTGAAAGCAGTTTTTTACAGCTAATAATTGTAAACATAATAACATGATGGTCGGTCGATTGCATTAAAATACACTAATATTAATTGATAACAGTGTTTTAAAATTCCCAGCATTCCACTGCGTGATAGTAGTTAATTTTATGCAAGTGGAGAAAGAAACTCAAATTAATAGGAGAAGGTGATTTATGGCCTGAGGTAATCTCTCATGACTGGGCAATTAAGGAATATTTGTATGCTAATGATAAGGCTAAGAATAGGCATTTCCAGGAGTAGCACCTCAGCCCGGGTCCCTGATGCTGGATGTGCTCAGCCAGCCAGCATCTTGCTTGGGGAAAAAAATGAAGGGATAGAAAATACTTATTCTACAGTATCAAACTGGGCTTTTTAAAGCCACATGAAATGCTGTGACACGGATCTCTGAGCCTCACTGGCGCTGGCAGCATTTCTTTGTATGTGACAGATGAAGAGTTGGGGCTGTCAGAGGTTTGGAGCACTGGCTGTGGGTCCCTGGCTATTGCAAGGCTTTGCCAAAGATTTAATGCCTTAGACCCGAGCTGGATTTAGGTGCTGAATTTCTCATTAAGACTATAAAACAGATAGGGGTTCAACGCTCTGAATATCCAGGAGATCAGGGTATAAATGGACAAAGAAACTCCCTGTCACCTTCCCTGTCACCAGTGCCACTGTCGCAAATAGGAGCCGTGATCAGTTTGCACTTAGATATTATCAAAAAATATAAAGCTTTCTGAAGGTCTAATTGCCTCAGAAAGATAATCCCTAGGCTGAGCTGCTGTGAGCTGGCTGCCTTTTCTCCTCGGTGTATCAGCGAAATTCTGCATGAGAACTAAGCCAAGGTTTTCCCATAAAAATGCATCTTTGTTTTGCCATGTATGCACAGGACCTGTTGCATTGTACCTTTAGGATCTTTTTTCCTTTGCCTTTTGGGAAAAGGAATTATTCAGAAAATCAGGATTAAAAGATACAGGAAGGGCTAAAAATTAATCCCAGTCAGACACCGACTATGCTGATGCTCTGCTCTCAGATTTTTTTTCTCTTTGCATGTTTTGTATTCAGAGCGTAGTTAATTCTTTTCTAGATTGTTATGGACTCACCTCCCTGCAGCAAAGGATTTTTAATATATCCATAATAATCAGAAGGGAAGGAAAAAGGCTTTTCCTCCAAGTTTTAAATGTGCCTGTGTCTGCACTGAAATGTCAGATTTAATGTGTTTGCTTCTCCTAAGTGATATCAATTATGGCCATTTACCTTTCAGTTAGCAAAAATACCAATATTTATTCTGCTCTCTGGTATTTACATATTTCAGTTACACGCTGAAATCCAGCCTTGTCTAAAAACACCTTGTCTAAGAACACCAGGTAATGATTCTGTCACAGCACAGGGACCAACCTCCCTCTCTCCAAACCCGAGTGTCACACACAGCACAGGCCACAGTAGAAGAGCCACAGTGTCACTTGTGCTCCTCTATCCTAACGTACCCAGGCATGTGCTTTTTAGGTTGATGATAAATGCAAGCTAAAAGGCATTTTGGAGCGTGGTAGGCATCCTGGTGTATATGTTTCTCCAAGTTTATGGCCATTATTCAGTTTAGTGTCCCCTATGGAATGCGTAGGACAAACAGCGCTGTTAATCCCAGCACAGCATATGGGAAGCGTTTGCATCACCGGTGACAAGAAATCCCACTGCTGCTTTCAAAAAGCTACACAAGGATACTCCCACCTTCTTAGAAATGTCAGAAACCAGAGGAATATTCACAGTCAGCTTTTCTTTGGTCCTCTTGGCTTTATGGGGCATTAGGATAGTAAAGCAAACAGCATTATGGAGGAACACTCTGCAGAAGAGGGAATTGCTTCCCCATTAGGCACCGATTAATTCCCTGCTTTAAGAGGAGGTTTTATTGGTATTGCAATAACAGGCTGGGAACTTGTTTTCTTAGTTCCTGATATATTAATAAGGTTGCTTATATTAGTTGTTAATTCAGCTGTGTTTTAAATGCATACCTTTGATTATTACATGCTTTCTTCTGTAAATGCAAATTCTCTTTATTTCAAATCTACATTATATAGTGCTCTAACCAGAAAGAATCTGTGTCAGAGGGATGTTAAGTACTGCTAAACATATTAGTGTGCAGTCACAACACTAAGAAATGTTGTGTGGAAGAAAAAATAAGCTGTTAAAAAGGATTGTAGTATAGATACTAATTTGAAGATGTCTGAGAAACAGAATAATTCAGGCATTTCTTGCTGTGCCTGGAAGTTGGGAGTTGAGAAAAACTCCACAGTGTAATGGAGGAAATATGAAATGCAGTTAATTTCAAAAAGACATTTATTTTCACAAACTAACATTATTCCCTGCCTTGTGTGCATGTTCATGTTTAGATGCTTGCTGGAAGAAATCCGAGCTATATCACAACTTTCCCATTCTATTGCTACAGACTTTCTTCTATACAATCCAAGTTTGCTTTCCATTAAAGTCCAGTCTGTTTGTGGCATTTGATGTATTTTGAACTATTACTTTTTTGAGCGAGTGCCTGAGCTGCCTCTGGCGTGTCGTGATGGTTTAGCAGTGCCGCTGTCTCCAGAGGATTTTGCAATAAAAATCCTGGCCGGGGAAGTCCTGACCCCAATGAAGCCAGCAGCGAAAAATTCCCGCTGGCTTCAGCGGAGCAGGGATTTCAGCCTGCCTGCAATAATTTCCCCCTCGTGCAATGAAAAAAGCCTCACCTGGAAGTGTGACAGAGCATCGCTGCTGTCGAGCCCAGAGCAGAGGGGTGAACCCCACGAAGTTACCGTGACGGGTGTGAAGGGCACCGACACTCACCTCCTGTCCTTCCCTCCAGTGCTCCGTGTCCTGTGGCCGGGGTGTCCAGCGCCGCGCCGTGCACTGCCACAGCGGCACCCCGAAGGCAGCCGAGGATGCCGAGTGTGACCCAGCCAGCCGTCCCCCTCCACAGCGGGACTGTCACCTCCCCGAGTGCCCCACGCACCGCTGGGCAGCTGGCGAGTGGCAGCCGGTAAGCAGGGACCCCCCTTCACCCATCCCTGGGGTCACGGCACTTGTGCTCTCAAGCGTGGGGTGATGCTGGTCGAGGAGGCCGGGGATCGCTGCTGGAGGGCCAGGGTGTTGGGGGGTGCAAGCTGGGCTTGCCAAAACAAAAAAAGAAAAAAAAAAAGAGCAGAGGGAACGCTCATGCGTGCTGGCTGGAAGGGGGAGAGGAGAAATACCTCGGTGGGGTTAATTTATTGCTTCATGCTGCCCTGTGTTTGGCTGGGACCTATGCAAATATTGAGCAGGTTTTGGGTAGGGCGGATTTGGGTCTGTTCCCAGAGGCAGAGCCCTGCCGTGCTGCTGCAGCTTGAGCTCCCTGCCTGTAGGTTTGGAGGAAACAGGGAACAGTGGTAATTCCCATTTTCCTGTCCCATCACCCCATCTTTTTCTGATGTCCCTCTCCTTTCACTGAGCTCCCAGTCCATGCACTTTTGTCAAGCCATGAGCAGTGCTGAGATGGGGTCTCCCAAGGGACACAGTGCTTTCCTGAGTGACCAGGATCAGTCCCCAGGAAAAACAACCCTTTAGGCTGGATCAGGGGAGCAGCGGGGGCTCAACCCTTCACCCTTGGAACAGCAAAGGTCTCACTGACTTTGGAGGTGGATGATCAGATCCTGGTCACCTGGAATCCTGCAGTGCACAATTCCAGGGAGCAGGAGATGTATTAATCAACCAGGGACCCAGCATTCCTTGTCAGTTATAGTGCTTTTATAGTGCTCCTGCATGGGCCAGAGAGGTCTTGAAGGGGGATAAAATTGTTTCAGATCCCTTTGCCATCAGGATGGTGTAAAGAGGCCATGGTGTGAAGGAAAGCAGAGCCCCCTACTCCAGTAACAAGGGATGGAGAGGAGCCATCGGCTTCCTGCTCAGAGCTTTGGTGTTTGCAGACACTTCCAGAGCCTTTATGGTGTCAATAAAAAGAAGAAAGAAAAAAGGGAAGACTTTAGAAAAAGCAAATTTGATGAGAGAAAAAGCAGCTCACACATGCAGAGGCTGTGCAACTTTTCCTCTACAGCAAGAAAAAATTCCAGGCTAAGGCAGTGTTTGCTTTACTCTCATCTCTCCTTCCCCACAAGCTTCAAGTTTAGCTTCATTTCCCCAGTCTCAGCAGTGCTGGGAAGTTGGGTTTATAATCCTGTGTAACCTGGCCACAAGTACAGGAGGCCAGAGGGGACTGTGCCCTTTCCCAGCTGCCAGGGAGCCAAGGTGTGATGGGAAGCAGCAGGAGGCAAAGCTGAGCTGGCCACGCAGTGGTACCCAATGGAAACATCCCAGCCTGAAGAAGAAATGTAGGAATGACTGAGGAGGCTCCAGCAAATTCCTTGCAATGAACTTTTGGTTTTACAGAGCCCACTAATTTCTTCAACTAATAAATTTACAGGCAGCAAAGTAGGTCACCAAACAGCATGCAGTGCTAGTCCTTGCCTAGTGGTGCAATTAGCCCTGAAGAGCCACGGCTCCTGCCCCAGGCTTTCATAGGATCATAGGATCATTAAGGTTTCAAAACACCTCCAGGATCATCAAGTCCAACTTTCAACCACATTTTTCCCTCTCTCCCTTATTTTTGCAACTTTTCAAACCAGTGGTGAGAGGCCCCTGTCTGCTTCCACCCTGCCAAGCCCTTGGTGAGAGGTGAATGTTGATGTTTTCCTAAGTTTTCCAGGGCTCCCCCAGTTGCACTGGGGAAATTTTTAACATATTATGGAGATATTTTTTTCCCCAGAAGAGCTTTACTAGGGGGATGGGCTGAAAGTTTCCTCACCCATAAGTAACCATTAATAGGAAAACACCGGAGATGCCCAATGTGAGCTCACCCCTTTGGCTGACTCCAGGCAGTTCTTCTTTAGAGCTCTTCTTATTTTGTTCTGATGTACCCAGTGAAAAAAAGGAATAGCCCCTTCTTCCCAGCCTAAGTACTGTCTGTGTGTTATTTACAGTGAGGAGGCACAGATTGCATTAGTATTCCCTGAGCAGGGAGCAGCAATGAAATCCCTAATTGACATGAAAGCTAGGATGTAAAATAACATCCCAGTGCTGTCTTGTTCTTGATTTCTTATCTTTAAAGAGAATCTGTCAAGAGGTTTTGGTGGTGTTGTGTTATTTTGTTCCTTTTTGTTGTTATTTAGAAAAAAGTTGGTCTTGGGAATGTGAAGGAATAGGGAACGTATTGGAAACCCTTTATGGATCTGTTGCTATATCACCATTAATTACCTGTTCTCAGTGCCCACACTGGGGAAAAGAAAGTCAATAGAAAGAGCCTTGCTAATGTCAAAGTGAAACTCAGACCAGAGTCATGAAAGGAAAGAGAAAATTGGGAGAGAGAAGGGTTTTTTCTTCGAGATGAGCCTCTGTGGAAGGACAATGCATGGTTCTCGAAGCTGCAATGCAATTCTTGAATCTTTGACATTTGCCATTTGGGGTGAAATTATGCCATCCTTGCCTGATCTGAATTGCAGAGTTACCCAAGGCATGTTCCAAGTGTTCATGGCATGGGGATTTCATTTCTTCTCTGTGTCAGATGGTGATTTAAAAAAAAAAGAAGAAAACAATGAATGCTTTTGCAAAGCAATGCCTCTGGGGTTATTTTAATTATTGTTATTACTCTTCTAAAACAGTTGCAGAAGTGCTTGAAACGGTCCTTAATTTGGACTGCCAGGAAAATAGTTCAGAATTTGGGAAATGAGGCGCAAGAGACAAATATTGTCAAATGCCTGACCTGTTTTTTAGCTTTTGCTATCAATAGCTGTTATACCCTGGCCCCACTGTTTTTATGTGAGATTTAAATCAGTCTTGAACATGAGATTTCATACAAAATCTATCACTGTATTGAAAGGAATAATAGCCTTTCCATGCTAGCTGGACTGTCTGCTTTCTACATGAATAGTGTTTTATAACCTTGGGGTGGCTGATTGGAACCTCTGCAGTGTTTCTCTTTGATTTAGTTTACGACAGCCTCACTGTCTTTGAGCCACATTTAGTATTTCAGTGGGATTATTTTAATTGCTAGTTACCCCTAAAAAATACAAATAATCAAACTTTAATTTACTGATTATGACAAAATGCACAGAGCTGGCTCAGGTTTATTTGGCCACACAACTGTTATTTGCAGAGAAACCCAAAGCAGGCTGGCATGTGCTTGAGAGTGTCAATCTCTCATCAGCAAGTAATGACTTTAAACGAGGAGAGGATGGGCTTTTGATGTGCTGTAAACAAGGATGGGCTTTGATGTGATAGCTCTTCAAGGCCAAAGTCAGAAGATGCATAGAGATTGTTCACTCCCTTAAAATTAAGCCTGAGCCAATGAACTTTGCAAATTTAGCCCTAAATATACATTAAGGAGAGGAGACAAAATCAGCCTTTCTTCCCACTCCTTGCCAGGTGCCTCCTTTGGCCATCAGCAGCCGAGGGCTGGAACCGTTCACCCTGTGCTGGTGACCCCTTGCTGAGCTGGCAAATGCAAATCAAAGCCGAGGGGAGCTTTGAGCATCCCGTGGCCCCACTCCCACTGTGCTAGAGAGTCCCTCACTAGGGAGGAGCAGGAAGGTCGGGGTTCAGGCTGCTCCAAAAGGTGCCTGGAGAGCGCTCAGGGAAGCTGCACCTTCCAGATGGAGCGCGAGTGATGCCACACGCAATGACCCCCTTTCAGTTTTTAGTTATGTAATAGAGACATGATCAGAGATGGGCAAATACAGCACAGTTTGTTTGCTTTCTGGGGAAATCACACTCCAGCAGATTCCTCCACCCCCTGTAGGATCGCCATGTTTCAGCAAAGACCTAAAAGGAGCTTCCACTCCAAGGACTCAAAGCAAGAGAGTAAATAAGGTTGAAAGCACACAGAGCCCTTGGGGTCTTTTGGCAGACTGTGGATTTTGCAATGTTGACTGTTGCCTAAGAGCTCCTAAGTTATTCTTTTGGAATAAATGCTTCTTTGTGGGGCTGCCTTTCCTTCCCCATTGCTCTCCGCTTTGCCCCAGTGCTAAATATTTACACCCAACATGATGTTGCGACTCTCCTGGTTTGCTGCTCCTGCCATGGACTGATCTGATTTTTCAGATGTTCTCATGTAATTTACAATCTTGGTTCTGACAGCTAATTACAGAAACAGGGCTCTGACAATGCCTGCATTTTGCAATTAGCTGAACCCACTAAGATCTCGCTAATTGTGGGCCAGCCAGGAGAGCAGGAGCTGCTTCAGGGAGGCTGGAGACCATGTTTAGAGGGTGAAACTCTAAATAGATTAAACTGGCACAGTCCTCCAAGCCTAGGTGACTTCAAACAAGGCTTCTGTACAGATAGGGATGGTCTGATTGAATGTTTTATCCTTTTCCTTAGGGGAAGACATTTCCTACATGTTCTATAAAATGATTATTTTCATGCGTTGTTCTCCTTGTTAATCCAGTTAGTTGAAAGTGTTAGAAGTCCATTACAGGCAATAACTTTAAGAAAATAGGTTTTTATCCAGACAGCTGCTCCTACGCTGATTTATTTTGTTTTATGTGTATTTTTTTTAAGATGCTCTCCAAGCACAGCCTCACAGCTGGGCTGGTTTTTCCAAGATGAGGAAGAACTGAGTCCTTAAAGACTCCAGAAGGCCCTGGGGAGCAGTTGTGCTTGGCTGGCATGGGTTGCTCTTAATATCAGGCAGGGCAATGTTTAAAAGCAAATAAACCCACAGGTCTGCCTCCACTGCAGTGGCTGCAGAGTTGTGTTCAAGGCCAGGCTGGATGAAGCTCTGAGCAACCTGATCTAGTGGAAGGTGTCCCTGCCCATGGCAGTATCTTCCAACCCAAAAGACTCCAGGATGATTCTTTGTGCCCCCACTCCATGCCAGGGCAGGGCATTGCTGCTCGCCTGCTGATGGGGACTGGGGAAGGGGCTGACCCAACACCAGCCACTGCCAAAGGTGTAGCAGTGTGTCTTTTGGAAGGGGGATGGTTGAGTTATCATTCTTCATACCTCAGTTTCTTCTCTCTCCTTACATCTTTGGTTTGGGTTAGTACCTCCAGAAGTCAGGACCAGTTTGTCACTGGATGATCCTGCAGCACCTGGCACAGCAGGGCCCTCATAGAAAATTTGCCCCCAAGTGATACGAGTGGCAGACGCCAACACGAGGCACAGAGCCACCACTCAGGCAGGCTGCTGGGAGGAGGGATCCCTCCAGATGGCTGCTCATTTTCTGAAGTCCCTCATGGGTTGCATGAGCCGTTGTTTCTTGCACACAGTGCATGAAGACGTGCGGGGAGACGTCCCGGTACCGCAAGGTGGTCTGTGTGGATGAGAACAACAAGCAGCTGCAGAACAGCGGCTACTGCGACGCCAGCAAACGCCCCCCCGAAATGGAGAGCTGTGGGCTGCCACCCTGCGAGTACATCTGGATCACGGGGGAGTGGTCAGAGGTGAGTCCCCATCCCTGTCCCTGCACAGAGACTGTGCCACTCAGCACCGGGCCGCACTCTCCTCTCAACACTGCCCTTGCTGAGGTATTGCAACCCAAATCAACACTGGCAGGGCCAGTGCTGCGTGCTTTAATCATTTTTTTGGGTGTTGTTTCTCTGTGCAATCTCCTTGTTGGAGAGAAAGGAACAAGGCTGTGGGAGATGACCAGGATATTAAAGACTAAAAGCAGCATGCTCAGGGTCCTAGCTAATATCTGGAGGCAATTTTCTTCCAAGGCACATCGTGTTCAGCAGGCACCCTCTTTGTTTTTTTGCTGGTTTATTTCATTCATTAATTTATTTATGTGGTTTTATTTCCATCCCCTCCTGGACAGCTCCACGGCCCCATGGGCTGCGCAAGGGTCCAGGCGAGCATCGTGGGGGAAAGGCGAGCCTGGATGTGACCATGGGGACACATCCTTCCTCAGTGCTGTCTTTGGCAGGAGCAAGGACCCAGAGCGAGCAAAGGCAGGAGATTCAGCCTCACAGCTGGGCAAGGGCTCAGCAAGGAAAATAGATGAGTTTTCCTTGCGGCAGGCACCGCATGCGGGAAGACCTGGGCTAATCTCAACCTGTTTCTTCCTGCAGCCAGTGAAGGATTACTTTCAGTTGGAGGAACAGCAGAGGGAAATGACAAGGCAGCTGCTGACACGGCACTGATTAAAAAGAAAGAACAAGAAAAGAGAAAAAAGAAAACATGCCAGGACTAAGGGGGAGGAGAGACAAGCCACCCAAGATAGAGCAGGAGGGGGAAATGCAGCAACATGATAATATCTCAGAGCAGCCTGGTCTTCTGAGTGGTTTCCTAAGAGAAATATTGAGCTGCCTGTGAGGCTGAAGCCCTGGCTGCCCCTTGCCCAGACACCATCTACCAACTCCCAGCATCTCTGACCCCTGGGAGCACTCAGGCCCATGAAGACAGAGAGGTGGGAGAGGGCTCTCAGAGCCAGAGCTTGTCTCTCCCCAGCTCCCACTCAACCTTTTGATGAGGAAGGCAGAACACTGTTTATCCTCTAATTACAAGGAAAAAATTCTCATTCTTCCATTTGCTGCCTAATACCTGCAATTCAGGGTCAGTGTTAACCATTTTCTATCTCTGTGTATCCCACGAAAAAAAAACCCAACAAACCAAACCAACTAAATAATAGAGGCATTTCTGAGTCCCAAAGGATCTTCTGCTCCTTTCTTTGCACCTGGGAAGAAATAACATGTGTCCAGGAGCCAGCCTGGCTAGAGAGTCCTGGAGCAGCTGTAGATCCATCCCAGAGAGGAACTGGGTGCTCAAAGACAGCGTCAGGCACCAGCTCACTTGTAGCAATCACTCATGATACTCATGACTGGCTTAAGTAGATACCAGTGGTCCCTTGGAGCAGCTTGCTGTATTACAAGTTGACAACCCTGCTTTTCCTCCCCATTTTGGGTGGCCTTACTGACGCATGTGGTGCTCACTGGTGCTTCCTCTGCCCCCAGTGCTCCGTCACGTGTGGGAAGGGATACAGGCAGCGCCTCGTGTCCTGCAGTGAGATTTACACCGGGAAGGACCACTATGAGTACGGGTACCAGAACATGGTCAACTGTCCTGGCACTCAGCCACCCAACATCCAGCCCTGCTACCTCGGGGAATGCCCTGTCTCGGCGTCCTGGCGCGTCGGCAACTGGGGAAGCGTAAGTTTGGAAAACTTCTTTTTTTAACTGAAAACATTGGAACAAATTGAATTTTTTTTTTTTTTTTTTACATCAGGGACATAAACTGAAGGTTCGGAGGGGGATGTTTAAAAGCTGCATAAATTAATGCACTGAATGCTCTGGTGGAGCAGCAGCCCCACTGTGTGTAGGGTTCCGTGCTCCAGACTGAACTCCATTGTATGGCTGAGTCCCAGTAGCTACAATTAGAGTCACGATCTCCATGAAAATTTGGATGTAGCCAAAATTTGTGGCAGTGTTGATGGTCGAGCTGAGTGCTCAGTCAAAGAGGGGGATCGTTGCAGAAAACAAGAGTTTGGAAGTCTTATGCTGGAAGGATTGATGGATCTCTGGCAACTGCAGTTGATCCCACTTTACCACGTGTATGAACAAGATTTTGGAGCCACCAATAAGCCAAAACACTGGTCATTTGAGCCTTAAAATGATTTTTTTTCTTTTTTTTTCTCCTGCTTTCTTCTTACAAATGCTGGGACAGGGGAGGGGAAAGAACTTGGCCCTTCTGCTAAAGTTATTTGTGTTGAGCCTCTTCTGGGGCCTGAACTACAAGATCAAATTTTAGTTAAGGTGATAACATTTCACTTCTTTGGGCTTCTGACATTCTTTGAAATGTGATGTTTCTCCCATAAACTTGATTTATTAACCTAGCTCAGGCATTTGTAGGAATTTGTCAAACTTTTACAAGGCAGTGAGGGTCAAGCCAAGCAATATGTAGTGGAAGTTGTCACAGTAACTGGCAAAGCTGTTTGAAACCAAAGTTCCTCCTGCCCCATAGGAAGCTTCAGATCCTCCCTGCGAATCAGTGCAGAGGATGGGCTGTTGTTTGGCAGCTCCAGTAACTTGTGCAGCTTCAGCCTTAAGATTGCCCTTGGTTTGGGCTGTTTGAGGATGAGCCATTATTTACACAGATTTATCCATTTTTTCCAGCGGGTGAGAGGAAAGAAAATTGAGGCTCCATTTTTTTGGTGCAATTTGGATAGAAAACAGCCATGTTTGTTCAGAGGCCCATGGCAATGACCCAAGCAATGTCTTGCAGCCACCAGGAGACAATTTCTATCATGCAGGCCTTCTGGTGAACATTTCTCTCTTGTATGACCTTCCTAATGTGAAAAATAAACTATTTCAGTTGAGCACATGGTTCACCTTAACCAACTGCCTCATCCAGCAAAGTGTGCAAATGCTAAGCAAAGTATGGTAGTCCTCTTGAAGTAATCAATGATGATGATAATAATGAAGGGATTAATAATCAAAGGGACTACTCATTTGATTAAAATTAAACTTATGTTTGAACACTTTGCAGGATTGGAGTCTTTCTCTTGATACAAGGGAAAAACCTCCTGTCTCTGGTCTTCTGGAACACAGAAACCTTTGAGATAAACCTCAAATCTCTGTCTTGTGTCCTGCAGTGCTCTGTCACCTGTGGAGTTGGGGTCATGCACCGGTCGGTGCAGTGTTTGACGAATGATGACCAGGTCAGCAACTTGTGCCATGTGGATCTGAAACCTGAGGAGAGGAGGACATGCCACAATGTCCATGACTGTAAGTCTGCAGATTTTCACCTTCCTTTGCCTTTCTCATGGCTGCAGCATCTTTTCCCATCAAACTCCTAGAGATCTGCAGTATTTCCAAGCATTGGGAGCCATCCAACTAAGCACTAAGGCACACCAGGGAAACCTCTGAAAAATAAACAAGATGTTTTGATGTTTTGGATGCCTCACAGTGTTCCAAAAGAAATTTTGATGTACAGTTGCTCAGTAACTACAAGTATTTCTGTTTTGTTTCAGGTGAACTACCAAGGAGTTGCGAAGACGTTAAAAATCTCAAAGGTGTCACTGAAGATGGTGAATATTTCCTGCAAGTCAAAGGAAAGACGTTAAAGGTGCATTTCAGCAACAGAATGATAGTTAATGCATTTTCCAAAGGCGCAAGAGGACCTTGCATGTGCTCTTCACTTCCACCCTTGGATTTTTTGCCTTTGTTTTTCTCAGCCATGCCTTTGCCTTTGTGACAAAATTCTGGCTTCTCTCTCTCTCAGGTGTATTGCTCTGGGATGCAGACTGACAGCCCAAAGGAGTACGTGACCCTTGTAAATGGGGACGCAGAGAATTTTTCAGAGGTGTATGGATACAGGTAAGAAATCCTGTAATGGTGAGCTTCACGGTGTTTTTGTTTTCCATGGCAATATTTTCCGGTCATGAGTAGAAAGGGTTTTCTTTTGATTTAGATTGCATAACCCGACCGAGTGTCCGTATAACGGGAGCAGACGAGAAGACTGCCAGTGTAGGAAAGATTACACAGCAGCTGGGTTTTCCACCTTCAGCAAAGTAAGGCTGGACCTGAACACTATGCAAATAATAAGTGAGTAAAAACAGGGCCTTGCCATTAAAAACAAAATGTTTGTTTGACACAAATATAGCTGTAACTACAAGCGAGCAGTAGTACTCTAGTGAGCAATATTCCTGAGCTTTCCTGTTAGAAGCTTCTTTTAAACTTGGTCACCTGTTTGCTGCTTTACTCCTGGAGACTGCAACTTTCCATCAGAGATGCTCATATTATTTCTCTATAAATAGGAAAATATTAAGACAATTGCTGGTGCATATGCTCTGCAGAATGCATGCACCTGGCAGGCCAGTGTGTTTTTTGAAGGATTTTATTTCATTTGATCTCCTATTTTCAGACTGGACTTAGACACAAAGCTTAACCAGGGAGGAGCTGCCCCCCCATTTTAGACAGAGGGGTGTCAGGAGATCCCAGTGCAGGGGATTCCACCAGGGTGGGGATGCTGCTCGCTATGGTCAGGGCAGAGGAGGCTCTCGGCAGAGCCAGACCCTGGGGAAATAATTTGTGTTGATAGTGATGGAGGTGGGGACATGGATTAGCAGGGGAGGAGAGAGCTGTAGCTGTGCCGTGTAAGTGATACCCTGTCTCTCCTGTAATTCCTGGGAGCTGGGAGCCATCTCACCATCACAGAGCCTGTAGCATCCCATAGGGTTACAGTTTCAGTCTCCCTGACTCCAGAGATGCTATCAGTTTCCAGCAAATGTTTTAAAAATACAACATATTGTTGGGAGTTCATTCAGTAAATAGCCGAGGTTTTTTTAACAAATCAAAATCCTTCCTTGTAAAATGACTCTTTATCTGATAAGTGGTTTTTATCACTTAATTTTCAAGACCTCCCAGTCTATCAATCTGTAAAAAGCTACTAATAATCTGTAAAAGCTTCTAGGTAAAGATCTGAAAGCAACCACCCTCGGGGAATTTGATACCAGCTCCCTTTGAATTTCAAAAGGAGCTGGGCACCTACCTCTGTCGGGCAGGAGCTATCTCACATCCCCATCTAAATGAGTCTCGGTTACTTCAGATCCTTCCAGAGCAAAATACCCCAATTCCCTTTGAAAACCCGACCCCTGGGCTGGGGCAGCCAGGAGAGCAGAGATGGTTGTTTGCCTTTGTTTAAAAAGGAAATTTAGGAGGTCCTGTAGCCTTCTTGAAAGTGGGGGGTTTTCTGATAGAAAAAGAAATCCCAAGTCATGGGCTCTAATTTTGTTGTTATTTATACCTTGTTCTTAAATCACCAGTGGACTTAAACTGAATTGTAAACACCGAGTGTATAAGTTTCCTGTTAAATTCAATGTTTATGTGCTGGGTGTCACATGTGTGATGAATTGGGAGATCAAATATTAAAGATCTAGTAGTCTTCACTCTCAAGATTAATGTGTGAAACCAGGTTTAGCGAATTTAAACATTAGCAAAGAACACGTTTACATTTGTTTTTGTCTCTCTCCCTGCATCTTTCTTTCCATGTTATTCACCAACTCTTCTCCACAGCAACTGACTTACAGTTTGCGAGGACTCATGATGGACGACCTGTTCCTTATGCCACTGCTGGGGACTGCTACAGTGCTGCCAAATGCCCTCAGGTATTTGACAAGAGGATTTCATAGGAATGGGTGCCATTTGTTATGTTCAGGCCCTCTGTTAATTACTGCTGATCACATCAGCCCAGCTTCAGTGAGTGGCACATTCTTATCTCAGTGATCAGAAACTTTTCCCTCTGTGAAGATGGAGAAAGTACTTTCCATTTTCCATATTATCAGGCCTGTGGCTGGCTAAGGGACATTACCTCTGGCCTCAATCAACAGTAGAGGAGAAAAGGAAGAGAATAGGCTGTGGGAGAAGAACTGGGCTTTATGTGGGTAGTTGAAGGCAGGGGGATCAGTCCATGACAGGGATTGGTGGAAATGCTGGGCAGGGAGAGCAGGAGGGTGTCAGGGAACCTGCCTCTGTGCTCTGCAATCTTGTACCCACTGAAACCAGTTCGCAGGGGTGCGAGAAGATGGGTGAGACAGCCCCTCTGGATGGGAAGGCAGCAGACAGACAGCAGGACTCCTGCCATGGCAGCTCTGGGGGAGATGCCTGAGAAGGAGAGGGCATTTGTGGGGCAGGAACAGGTCTGATTTCTGCCACTGGAAAGACAGAGCCTGTCTGTCAGAGACCACAGTGGTACCTGCCAGCTGCAGCCCCAGTGTCCCCACACCCTGCTGTTTATTTTGACAGCAGCCTCATGGGACCATCATTGACCCCACTTTGGGGCTGTGAAAACACTGACAAAATGAAGGTGGTGCCTGTGCATCAGAGCAAATCCAGCCTGTCCCAGCACCACAAACTGCCCAGCCATGAAAGTATGGGGTAGGACACAGGCTAAGTTGCCTCTTCAGTAGCTCTAGAAGGTAATGTAGAACATCTATCCCAGCTATTTGGAAAAAATATGCTCTTTGAAAGTCTTTAGGAGACAACATTGTGTTATAGATGGCTTGCTGCATGTCCCCAGCATGCCTAGCTTTTGTGGGGCTGGGGGATGATAAGTGATAAGTTTGGATAGTCCAAGGTATGGGATGGACCATATTGGCAAATGGCATTATGCAGGGAATTGCACCAGCAGACGGCAGAGGGCAAACCTCTCCATCTCATTTGCTCCCTGCTTTTGGAGCTGACACTTTTCTGCACAGCTCAGCGGCTTAGGGATTGACTTCTTACCTCAGGAATGCTCATGAATGTTAATATCCGTCCACCTGACCCAGACAGTTTGGTCCTCTCAGAAAATCAGCATTCCCAAGGCAGTAAGTGCAAGGAGCAGAGCTAACAGCCATCTGGTACCTCATGGCTGTGATGGGCTGTAGGTCAGCCTGGGGATGTGTCCAAAAGGATTCTTCCGTGGGTCCAGAAATGGGCAGGGCTGGAGTCTGCCATGGGGGGAGGGGGTGAGGGGAGGGCTGGGGGGCCGAGCATTGGATGCCAGCATTCTCCTAAATTTTCCATTTTGAGAAAAGGTGGAATGAAGTGTTTTAAAGAAATAAGCAGTTTTTATTTTACTGAAGTCTGTGGAAAACAAACAAACAAACAAACAAAAAACCCCAAACAACGAAAAACCCAGTGAAAAATAAGGAAAATATGGACAAGTGTGCCCTCTCCAGTTGAGGAGGGAGCAGTGACACTGGCTGCAGCACATCCCTGGAGTCCCTTCCTGTCAGCTGCTGGAGCACCTCAGGCTCCGCAGTTTGCCATGGAAAAGCCAAGAATGCCCTCAGCTGGCAGAGAAAAAGCACTGCAAAACCGGGAAAAAACAGTGCAAAACCTGGGTAAGGCAGTGAAAACCCAGGAATAAAAGGCAGTTCAAAAGCAAGCTGCAGTCCCTCCTTCTCTGCAGCCACCAAGCAGAAGGGAATTCCTAATGTGAGCCATGCTGTGATTTGTACAATGGGCTAATCACGGTCACAGCGATGGAAAACACGGGAAACATTGCTGGCAAAATCCTGTTAGAAAAGTGATACCGTGGCATGTCAAGAGGCCAAAGCACAGTGTTTTGGGATAACCACACTCTTCTTGTTTTTTAGGGTCGCTTCAGCATAGACCTTTATGGGACAGGCCTGTCCCTAATGGGAACAGCCAAGTGGCTCTCACAAGGGAATTACGCAGTGTCGGAAATTCAGAAATCCCCAGTAAGTTGTAACTTAAATTATGGCTATACCTGCTCGTCAGAAGTTTTTAATCACCACATTGTCATTCATGGCAACATCTTCCAATAGAGACTAACAAAAAATGAACATCTGACATTAAAGTGTTGCCTGTGACAGTGGTGGGGGCGGAGAGGCCCTCGCGGGTTTAACTTGATCAGAGCTATTGCAATTAATTAGTGAGCCTGATTAACTGTGAAGCTGAAAACATTGAGTGCTGTGGGGCAGAGATATCCTTAATCAGTTGTCTGAGATGTCCATCATGGAGCGTGCATCACAGGGCTGGGCAGCAGGATGAGGGCATGCGGGGTCAGGGCTGCAGAGCAGGGCTGGACCTGCTGGAGAGGGTCTGGTGCCAGGCAACTGCCCTGAGTAGGAATGGCTCCCAAAACATCGCTGATAAAGTGTGGATGACATGGACCTTCCTGCTGGGCTGGGCTCATCTTCTTGAGGGAGTCTCAAGTCACTCAAGTCCAGGTGGGCTGGGGTGTGCTGCAGGGGCACCATCCCCTGCCACTGCCTGTGGCTCTGCTGACTGGAGGCCTCAGGCTAAGCCAGGCAGCCCTTCAAAATCACTCCACAGCCAAATTTGAACTTGTACTGCTTAATTTGCCTGCCCATTAACACCTCCCTCACTGTGTGCCTTCACTCTGTTGCTTCTGTGTCATGTTCTGAAATGGTAGAAACCCAGGACTGCTTTTTTGGCTGTTGCTTCATGTAAGTCATCCTGATTGCCCCTGTTAAAACTCACCAAAGGAGGTCACTGTAATCATTTAACAAAAAGCAATTTGCAAAATATTCTTTCCTGTACTGCTTTCAGTCTCCCTGGCTCCGAGTAGCCCTGTGAACCCCTAAGCCTCATCTCTGATGGTGCTCTTAGGGGAGAATTAAGTGCTACTGGTCTGACCATGCAGCAGGTCGAGGAGGACCAGCACAGCCCCTGTATGTCAGTTCTGGCAGGTGCTTTGCTGTTCTCCCTCTCAGAAAGGAGAAGCCTGATCAGACAACTTTGGGCTTGCAGAGAACATTATGGCTGGCAGAATTAAAACAAACTTTAAGGGACAGGGTTGCTTAAAGATCCTTCATCACCCGGTAGCATCTGTCAAGTGCTGTTCCAAGGGCGTAATTGCCCGCAGGAGTAGAAGAAAGAATGGCATAGTGAGAAGAGATGATAGCAGCCTGCTGCAGTCCCAGATCAATAATGTCAAGGGCAGGGTGGAGCTCGTTTAAAAATAAATGCTTTGTGCAAGCTTGTTCTGTGCTTAAGTCCAATTTTCTGGTAATTGAGGGTTGAATTCCCCTCAAGGACTATCTGTCCATTGTAATGACCAAGAGGAGAAAGACTCTGCAGAAATGGGATAGGGAAGGCCAGATGGAGGTATTGATCTCCTGACTCAAGCCCAGAGTTGCACTATGCTTGCAGGGCTCACCTGGAGGCCAAGCCAAGCTCAGGACCACTCCACATTTTCCTCTTCTGACTGTGGGAAGGGGAGGAGGGATGGCACCTGAGCAAGTGGCATTGCCTCACTCCATCGCTTTCCCTCCCATCTTGTCTCTGGAGCCACTCCAGGCCTTCTCCTTCCAAATGGATGTTTCTTGGTACTGCCTGCAAATATCCCTCCCATGCCCTTCCCATGTTCAGGCACAGCTGAGGAGTTGTTATTGTCCCAGTGTGGTTTGGCTCTTGCATGAGCCAAGTTTTCCACTCATTACTATTATTCAGTGTGGGGCAAATCAGAGAAAGCAGATACCCTTGAGATTTCCCTCCAAACAGCCTTCTCCTTGGGCAGCTTTCAATGTAATAAATCAAAACTACCCCTTCTTACTTGTGTCCACCATCTGACCTGGTAGCACTGAAAAGAATTACATTTGTGTGTATTTGAATATAGTGGTGATTTCGTAGATTGATTTAGGCATCATTTGTTTTCCTTCCAAGCCATTTTCTATTAAAAACCCTGGCTGGAGTAACCTGGATATGGCCCTTCCAAAGTGTGGAATTCCTGAGCCCTTATTAAGATGTTATTTCTGATTTTGCCTGCAGGATGGTACCAAAGTAGTAGGAAGATGTGGTGGTTACTGTGGGAAGTGCACTCCATCATCTGGAACAGGCCTCGACGTTCAGGTGTTATAGCGATGGTGAGTTCCCAGCAGCTTCTGCATGAAGGGAAATCTCCCCAAAAACATCCTGAAGGAAGGAACAGATCAGGCCATGCTTGCAAAAACTCTTGTGCGTTGAGTGCGCTGGGGACAGCCACACACTCCACAGAGCACCCCGTGGGATCCCCTGCTCCCCCAGTAACCCTAATGGTGTTAATGGAAACACTTCCCACCTCACTGACACCTACTTTGGCTCTGCTCTTGTGTTGATCTCTCTGTTACAGGTTCCAGGGGTGAAGATGATTATCTGACTCTTGTCTGTGTTTTCCAGGTTCTCTGGGAGCAGCCAGCGGAGATGAGATGGATGAAGGATAGCGATGCAATACCTCTGCCTTCCACTTTTGTATCTGTTTATATGTATATAGATTGCATATTCTTAATGTACAGTATAATATTTATGTTTGGGATTATTTATTTTGATTTAATATTTTTGTACGTAAAATCATTATATTAAGGCTGCTTTTACTATTTTTATTTTTTATTGTTAAATTCTGCAGTCAAACCACTGCATTTTGTATACTCTACATTATATGTAGCATTATGACAAGTGATACTTTATTGTCACTGTATTCAGTTGTTTACTTTCAATCAGTAATTTTCCTTCAGTTATGGGCTGCTTTGGCCCTCCACGGTGCTACACAATCTGCATAGGGGTATTTTTGGCATTTCAATCTGTCTTTATGTAAGGAAAATAGACGAGATGTGCTTAAATTTTATTTTTAGGGATTAGGCTGACAGCACTCAAGGAAAACATGACAATGAATACAGTGCTAGTTGCATTAGCAATCTTTATCTTTTAGGTATGTTTTGAATTTCACATGACCTCTGTGGCCGGTGCTAAAAGCACTGGTTTGGTGCTAACATGATATTTATTAACGCTCTGTAGTTTTAGTTAATCCAGTGCCTTTATCAGTGAAAAAGGGGATGAAGCAGAAAAATTGTCAGGCGATTCAAATCCGTTAAGATCTACCCCAGGTTTAGGAAGATTCCTGCAGATGGATCTTCAGCTCAAGCCCCTTTTCCTGTAGGGCTCTGAAGTGAACTCACTTTTTAAAAAAAACATCTTTGTCTCCTAATTGCATGTGCCACTGTGCTTCCTGGCTCCATCTGGAAGCGGGGTATTAACTCATCCCAGACAGGCTGATCAGGCCATATGTTTCCCTGGACTGTGCACTCAGAAGTGATGCAGTTTCTTACAGACTTTGTCACAAAATCCTAGCGTGAAGCCGAGAGCATCCCTGCCGTGTTCCCTCCACGGCAGGGGATGGGGGACAGCACGCCCAGCCAAGCCGCCCCTTCTCTTGGCCAGGGGACTCCACTGCAGGCACCTGCAGCATTTCCCCAGCTTCCTACTCACTCCCAGACCATCTGCAAAGGGAGGCTTCAGCGCTGGCGCTGCCTTGTTTCGACAAGATCACTCTGTACTTACAGATGACTCTGCTCCCCCTTCAAAAACAAGCTGCTTTACGCCTACTTCTGTGTTGCCTCGGATCTTCCTGGTAAGGCATCTGTGCTCCTTGCCTCTCTGCCATCCCATGTACAACCAGACCTTTAGTGCTGGCTTTTTTTTTTTAATATAAATTGAGGAGCCATCTCCCATAGGTGCCATGGCTCCTGCCTGTACATAGCCCTCCACTTGTGGCACGCCACGCTTTCGCAGAGCTTCGTAGCACGTTGAACGGGGGTGATGTGACCAGATTATTTTTGTAGTCTATGACTATGTCCCTTATCTCTTTCTCCACAATTTTACTTAGTGATAGGAAGGTGCTGCCCTCTCACCTTATATGTCAGGGCAGCCAGGAGCACAAAGTACAAGGAAAGGAAGCTTTTCAGCACAAAATTGCCAGCAGTTTGGAAAACCAAAGAGGCTTATCTGCTGCTCCAGATAATTCCTGCCATTTTGGATGCAAAGAGTTAACAAACGCAACCTCGGGATCTTGTGTGAGTCTTTTACAGAGCTCCCCAAAGGGTGTGTAATCGGTCTGCTGCAAAAAAAACAGTTGGATCAATGGTGATAAGCGGTCCGATCCCTGGATTCATAACCCATGTGTGTGCAGGGCTGTGTTCAGCCTTTGGAGTGAAATCTGTCAGCCTGACTGTCAGGGATCGACGTGTTCCTGTCAGCTGGGAGACATCTCACAGGCTCGCAGCTACAGAACTGGTTGAAAGGAAAGGGAAAAAGGGAAAGGGGAAAAGGGAAAGAGAAAGAGGAAAAAGGGAAAGGGGAAAGGAGTAGTAATGGAATAGTGATTTTTTTTTTTTTTAATGATAATTGCTTATGTATAACTTCTGTAGGGGAAAAGGGAAAATTGCACTATGAACTTTAGAAAGAAACAGTGGTGCTTAGAAAGTACAGGCTTATTATATTTTCTCTAATGAAGTGAATGGCTATTTATAAAAAGAAATATTATTTTGACCTGTACACATTCATTTCTACCGTATAGTTTCATAGCAGCTATTAACAGGGCAGAGAAGCCTAAAAAATATTAAACTAAAGGGAAAGAAAATGACAGAGCACTGATCCTGTGGTTCGTTAATGGGCATCATTAAATAGAGCAGATTTTGAGGACCAGAGACAATAGACATTTCTTGTTCAGGAAACAACTCTGGGTTTTGTATATCAATGCCATTATTTTTCTACAAACTGGGGTATTTTTTGCAAGCACTTTCCTGTACAGTGTTTCTTTTCTTTCTGCTTATACTCAAAAGGAAATGAAAGGACCCATAAGACATGTCTGTACGGTCTTGCTGCATTTGCCATCATATTTCAATGGATGTGCTATTATAGAGGCAAAATACTTTGTACACAAGGGAATAATACATTGAATGGTAAACATTCCTTTCTGTGCTGGTGTTTATTTCCAGGCTTTGGGCTCCTTGTTTGATTGTCCCATGCAAAAGGAATGAGGGAGGAGAAGAATGTTGTTTATATACAGCCCTGCCCCAAGCCCACAATGGAGTCTGTGGACCAGGGACCATTTTGGAGAATGGTCCTGACTGTCCATTCGTGTCCTTCTGGTTGGATAGACTGATGATCCCCAATTTCTGCCCAGAGTAGGAGTGCCCCAAGGTGCAAAACATGCACAAGCACATCCCAGAGGTGCCCCAGGAGCTGTTCAGAGATGCCTGGTGACCAGCTGGTGCTGCCTTCATTGACCAGGGACATCTTTTACCATGGGATGATAAGGGAGACAAACAGTTCATTTTACAAACATCTTTGAAGGATGAGCTGGGATACTGGACCTGGTCCACACCACTGGCAATGCTATTGAGAGAAATGTAGGGAAAAAAAACCCCAGCTTTTCTAAGCTGGGAAAAATAGCATCAAATATACAAGAAAATCCAGGTAGAAGAGATTTGGGTTAAAAGGAAGCAAATGTGGGGATCAGCTCCCATGAGGACAACCACATGATAAATTGCAGCCACTCTGACATCACCACAACCCCAGAGACTGCAGGTAAGAGTGAAGAAGTTGCATTTTCTGTCCTCCCTTGTATGTTACTCAGGCTTTGTGTCAGAAAATGCTGCAGATCTGTTACTGCTGGAAACTCTAGCCCTTTCCAGCTTCTGAATTTTCAACCCAAAGGAGAGAGGATTCCTTCCTCCTGCTGTCTGAAACACTGTCAGATGCAGAAAATAGAGCATGCTTTATTTCAAAAGCTCAATTCTTAGTTTCAACGACCAATCTCTTAAAGGTGTCTTTATTTTCTATCATTTGTCCTTAATAAATGATTACAAATATTTTAAACATGGGCTGCTGTGGGATTAAGCCAACAAGGGTGTGTGCACAGTCCCTGAATCATATTTAACCTTCCAACCCTGTATAATGACAGAGTCATTTTAACATTTTTAGTGCTTTAGGTCCTGTTATTCTATGAAAATTGCAGTACTCTTCTTCAGCCTTGTTGTACAGCTTCAGAGACAGAGGTGATTGCTTCATCTCTTCAGCCTTTTCCCCCAATAATGGGCATTTTTCCACTACAGGAAAATAAAATGCATTTTGTTGAAGGCTGTTGGAAAACACACATCTCAAGGAAATAGTGTTAAATCAGGACATGTGCTAGAAAACTTTCTTCTCCACACAGCCACACTTCCTGTATTGAAAAGTGCAGAGGCATAAAGAACCAAAGAAGGGGGAAAAAAAATTTCCACTGAGGCACTTCCAGACCTGGTCCAGTGGGTCTTTCCAAAACAACTCCTCTTCCCAAACAGACGATTGAGGGCTGACTTAGAAGAAAACATTCTGCTGGGGAAGAGCATTGAGGTGAGACACTTCTTTCATTACCAGGCAAAGAAAGGCACAGAAATTCAACCCAACCCAGGAGCCATTAACAGCTGAAGCAGCTCAGCCCATGTGGTAAGTTCTCCCATCGCCTGAACTATTCAAATGGAGAACTCTTCAAATCAGGTCGTTGTAAGAGACACAGTTTGAGTTCATCCAGAAGTCACCAACCTTTGTAGCTGTTGGTCATGCCGTGGGAGGGGATGAGTCCCTTTGCGGTACAAATTCCTGGAGGCAGCTCTCCAGCTTGTATTGAGCAGGAGGAAGGAGCTGATGACCAAAAGTGGTGCCTCTCGGTCTCACTCCAATATTTTCCAAGTATTTTTGCCTGTGGAGTGATCCAGGCAATCGGAATTGTAGCCTTCCAGAAGCAGATTTAGTTGACAAGTTTCTGACCTCTCTTTGCAATAGCGAGATGGAGAACGCTAAGAAGTTATTTTTGGCCTTCACAGAAGAGTCTGAGTTTCCACTTCAAAGTTGGCTTAATTTTTCAGCTATTTTATATTAGCAAACATAAGGCACAGTTTAAAAAAAAAAAAAAATCAAAAGGAGAAAAGAACAGTGTTTTGACCTAACCCAGATGCTTTTTATACTTTGTTTTCTGGGAAGTTTTGTTTGTTTGTTCCGCTTTAAAAAAAACAAACAACAAACCTGTGAAATTTTCCATGAAATTACTTCTGCCTCTCTCTAGTTATAAATATTGCCTCTGAAGTGTTTGGAGATGTGATTTGTTGACTGTAAGCACAGGGAGATCTGTTATAGGTACAATTTTAAGCCAAGGGAAGCAGCTCCAGGTCCTCCAAGGCAGTGGCTGCATATGAAGTGCAGAGGCTGGGACCATGCCCGTCAACCCATTTACACCAAGAAAATCTCAGTTCTGTTGGGAGCAGAATGGTTTCCATGTTACATCTCACAGGCTTCAGCACATGCCTGGCTCTAACACTCAATCTGAGCTGCCAGCAGCAATACCAAGCTGCAGCTACTTAAACATTTGTTGGTATTCAGTGTCTCCATTTCTGAGGAGACAGTATGAGGAGAAGAGCCAGAAGTCTGGAGTAATCTGTGAATACAAACCCCTTTGTATGTGGGGCAGAGGGTGCAGGGGGAGGCAGGGCTCTGCCCATTCTCTCCCTTAAAATCATTACTTGGCTCCATTCATATGCTTATAACTTCTTCATCCTTCTTTTAATCTGCAACTACATTTCAGATGAGCAATTAAATTAATCAGTTCATTGCTGCATTGTCCTTTCCTAATCCACCCTCTCTGGCTTGCTGACCTTCCTCTTTGAAGCTATTCACTGCTCGCTGCCTGCCTTCCCCAGCCCCACGCAGAACAGAAAGCAGCATTTGCTGTGAAATGCTTTCATTGCTCCCGCTCATCGCAGCAGGGAAGTGGGAATGGCTTCCTGCAAACTCACTGGCAAGAGCAGACATGTCCAGGTTAGTTGCTATGACTGGCAAATACGAGTGGTGCCTCTGAACCCCCCCTCCCCTGCCCTGGCAGGTGGGAGCAAAGCCGCCTGCAGCAGAGGACGCAAGCAGGTACCAGATGCTGCCAGGGGCTGGAGCTCTGGTCTCATGCATGGCTTGGGCTCCCCGGATGAAGTTGTCTCAGCTTGCTGTCCCAGGTTTGACTATCCCTTTGCAGCAGGGGCCAGGTGTGTGGTGGTGAGGAGTGTGCAGTTCTGCGCTTGCCCCTGAGGCTGGTGCCCTGCTGGAGCTTAGAACAAGCAGGTACCCACTGGTGCATTCCTGCCCTGCTTCAGGAAACGCAGCACAGCTGAACTGGCAAACAACTGAATAACAAACCAGGTATGGTGCGGGCTGAGCTGCTGGAAGGAGGCACAGAGCAGCAGTGGCCATGCAGGTTTGATTCCTGGCAGCACAGGGGGCAGCACCCTGAGGCTGAGCCTTGTCTAAGGGAGCAGGAGGCTCTGGCCTCTCTTCTCATTTGTGCTGGGGCTCAGCTGCTGAAACAGTTTGCTGTTTTCCTCTCCCCTTCACTGCTCTCTTCCCAGGGGATCCCTGAGCATGCCATGTCTCTTCAAATCCATGTGTCTCAGGGGACAGTCCACCTGGATCAGTGGCACAGGTGATCTAAGGAAACCCCAGAAGATCTCTCCGATGATTCTCACTTGAGCTGCTGCTGCATTCAGGTAGGGCAAAGGGAGAGGTGATGCCCTTCAGATCCACTTTTCAGAGATATTTCTAAATTCTGCTGACTGAATTGCATAAAAAAGTGGGGTGTCCTCGAGTCCTTTCAACAGCTCTTGTCAACACCGACAGCTTCATCCCGCTCTATGTGGAAAACACAGTGGGTGTGCCTTGTGCTGGTGCTCACCTGGAATAACCCTTGGGAGCTGTTCTGGGAGAGGCTGACACCCAAGACAACCTGAGTATATCCTCCTCTTTGTCGGCTTTCCTCCACATTGTGCAAGTGGTATGTGAAGCTTTCCAGGTATGACTTGCATTCAGAGTTCACTAATGGCATTTCCCCACTTGATCATTCCCAACGGCTTGGGCCTTTCAAGAGCCTAAATGTATGGAAGCATTTAACTTGTGAGAATCAGAAGATTTTGACAGCAGGTAGATCCTGGGCTCTTTGCCCTGGGTAAAGAACCGGCATCTCCAGTAGGTAAAACCAATGTAAAACCTGACAACGTTGGTGGCCATAAAAGAAACAATTTCTGTTATCTCAGGGACCATAGACAAAGTTTTGTAACTTTTCCCTTTGACCAGCTACCTAGTGTCTGGTGATCTGAGCTACTACCAGCAGCCTGGCTTTTCCAGGTATTCCACTCCCCTATTTATCAGCAGGTTTCAATCCTATGAAACTGTAGGAAAAAGGCTGTTTTCTTTTTCTCCCAAAAAGAAAAGACAGTAAAGCAGCTTTAAAAATATGAGTAGAAGGACCTTTCCACCTGCAGGGTGGCAAATGAATGATTAATGTGAGGGTCTGAAGGACATCTGTGACACTTCCAGCACTGTGGCAAGGGAAGGGCAGGATGGTTCACTCCTGCCAGCTTACCTCCTGCCAGGGCTGCTGACACCTGCTTCTGCACCACCTACCCCAAACTGGTTTGTTTTTTCTCATTTTCAGGAATGGTCCTGAAAAATAAAAGTAGCATGTCAGGAATGTGAATTTACAGCTTAAGGCAAATAATTCTGCCAGACCAAAAGAGAGCTCGAGGGAGCGAGGGGGAATAGTAGAAAATTACTTGTTGCTATAGCACAAGGATGTTGTGTGTAAATTGGCAGAGCCCCACTTGATTGCTTTGTTTAGCCTCAAATTGAGAAGCATTAAGGAACTGCATGAACCGGGGCCATCCACCACCCACCCCTTGTCAGACAGACAGGGAGAGCTGTGCCGGGGGACTTCTGAGCTCGACAGCAAAGAAATTCAGTTCTGGGAAAAGCTGCAGTGCTGTCATCTCATTTCAGGGAGTGAGTAACAGCCTGAAGGACGAGGAGGGGGTTGGAAGAGGAGCAGGAGGGAGGGAAGCGGGATGCACAGCCTGCTGATGCTTTGTCACGCCAACATC